TGGAAGGAAGAAAATGGCATTGAGGTACTTTCTTGGCCATCAATGTCTTCAGACCAAAACCCTATAGAAAACGTTTGGAGGTTAATGAATATTAATATACAAAAAAAAATTTGATCAATTAGAGGGTTAAAGGGGAACTTACAAAAGAATGGAACCAATTATCACCTGTACTTACCGTGAATTTGGTAGCTAGCATGAAAAGGTATACAGCTGCACTTATTAGATAATGACTACATAATGTATTAATTTTAGTTAGTTGGTTATGTATTTTTAAATAAAAAAAATTTTGAATTTACTTACTTATAGCTAGAGTTAGAAGCGGTCAGATATTTATGACCGCTACTGTATCATATAATTTGATTTTAGTGGTGAGATTTCCTCAAGAGCTTTTGAAAGATTAAAATCATTGGTCTAAATACAAACCAAATCAGATCCAAAAATTGATATGCAAGGTAATATATTATCAACCAGAACTGAAATATTAATGGAAAATATGGAGAGAACAGATAATGAAAAGTTAAGAGATCAAGAGAATGTGGAATACTGCATTAAGGTCCAACTTGTGACTATTGTTTTATCATTTACCATTATTATCACGTGATAATCTACATAGATCAAAAACTTATATGATCCGAACTAATGGTAGGAATATTAATTAATCGAAGAAACTAATTACTGATTTATAATAATTTAATGTTATTTAGAAATTTACCATTCCAAGAACAGTTGATGATTTTTTTTAAATGTGTTAAAGCAGTATACAAAATATTATCTTGGAAGTTTTGTATTATAACTCTATTATTTTAGTTTTAATTTATAGATTTAATTAATTTTAATTATTTAAATTTAAAATTTCTCCATCTGGTTCAAAAAGACTCATATGCAAAAGAATGCTAAAATCTTTAATGAATTACTTCAATGTTAACAAAATTTTATCACCCCAAAATTGATAAATATGAGGTTACCAAGATGACATGAATTAATTGATTATTATGATAAAAGTTTTATATTAGATCTATTATCAAAAATTAATAGATTTGTTTAACAAGTAATTTGTCGAATGATGCTATCAAGACTTGTGGGTTAATGATATAATTATTATTAATCTTTGGACTTTGGGTTTCTAATTTCAATGATATAGAACGTTAACGATTTCGTTAAAAAAATTGTTTTCAAAAATACAGATCAGACTACTATCAAATTCAGAAATATCGCAAACTAACATTTTTTTTTTTGCTCTTATTGCTAAACCGATCAGATCCCTATGAAAAAAATTGAGTATGAAATTAATAATAAAAGTTATCATAATTTGGCTGCCCCAATTCGTTTTTTGGGATTTTTAAGTGATTGTAACAATTTATGTAGAACAAAAAAAAAAAAGAATTATCACCGCAGTTACCACGCATAGGATTTACAAGTTGATCTATTAAATTAAAATACGTTACTTTGAGATTGTTATCAAGAAATCCATCAGAAGTCCAACCTATGTATGTTGAGGTCAAAATATTTAGTTGAAAATAAAAAGGAAGCTTCTATTATAATTCCTCACAAAAAGGTACAGTCACGTCGGAAAGTATCGCCCGATCAAACTTTTAATAAAGAATATTAACTTTAATAATTATTTCTAAATTTTATATAATTTTAAGGCCAGTCCTGTTAGTTGTATTTTTTTTAAAGAAAGGTTTAATTTGTGAAAAATTTTAACTATTTTAATTGTAATGTACAAAAGAAATTTTTCTATATGTTTTAGATCCAAAAAAAAAATTCATAAATATAAAAATGGACAATTTCGAGCTGCATATAAATTTATATTTCTTTTAATAATTGTTTCTAAATTTTGCATAATTTTACAGCTAATTAGTCTTTTTTTTTAAAAAAAAAAAAAAATATTTAACTTTGGGGAGCTTAAAATGCAAGAACCATTTTAATTGTAAGATCCAGAAAATAAATGTAATTTAAATCGGCGTTACTTTCCGACGCGACTGTACATAAACCATTTTAATAATAAAATAATTTACTCTTCTTTCCCTACGGTCAACAAAGAAAATTTGGCATTAAAAGCTATGAAAGTTGCTTGAACTTCTTTTCGCTGGTTCAAAGATCACCAAAATCTTGTCTAATAACGCGATCAGTATTTCTCATTACCGTATCCAAGAAACGCAAAATTAATGAGTCCTTTTCTACAAAATATTTTTGATATGAGCATATAAAATAAAGTAAAAGGACTTTGTAATTGTTGATTTCGAGTATATCATTAGCAACCAAAACATGAAAGAATTTACGGAAGCCAATAAATTTTATTTCATAATGATGGATTCATTGTGTTTCACCCTTCTCCTAAATTATGAGTATATTTAATACTAAAATATTTGACTAGCTCTAGTTACAAAATGCCTTTAGAAATATAGTCGTTTGCTAGTTACGAGACATAGTAAGTAAATCATGAGATCTGTAAATTTTTTTTTTATATTTCCCGCTAGGTTAAGAAAAGTATTTACATTGTCCCTCTATTTAGTATTGTTCTTACTTACTATTGGTCACGGAAATTAACGGTTAATTAAGGTGTATAAAAATTGATCGAGGTTAACTTACTCAGTTCTTTACGTTTATATTTATAATATTAGGAATTATTATTTATTAAATCAATTGATATATACTAAATGCTAATTATATAAAACCAAGAACAAAAGAAAAATTATAAAATAAAAATTATTGGAAAGAAATGAATAAAAGAAACGTAAAGGTATAAAATAAAAAAATCGATCTGAAACCCCCATTATCCGGGGCAAAATCGATCTACAAGGTCTAACTAAATTTGACAGACAATTTCTTAACATTTTCGATAATCTAAAAGAAACTGAAATTTGAAAATTTAGAGATTCTAATTTTTAATTTCTTTAATTAATGACTGAACATCATAAAAAGGTAAACTTAAAAAAAAATTTTTTTTTTTTTTGTTTCAAATTCAAAATTTTATTTTCTTTATATTTAGCGCAAAGCTACTTCTGAATTCAATAAAACATCCGTTAAAGATAAATCGCCTAATATTGAGCGTTCTCAGCAAGTCTGCTCAGATAAAAAAAAACTCTACACTGTTAGTGTAGCACTTCCAGGTTCCATAATAGATAATGCTCAATCAATTGAATTAAAAACATATTTGGCGGGACAGGTAACTTTTAATCATATTTTGACACTTAATTATGTTACTTTGATTGATGTTAATGTTAATTTTTATTTTATTTTGGATAAAAAGTTGGCACGATCATTTGCCGTCTTCAATGTAGATGAAATCATAATATTTAATGAATTAGGAATTCGTAAAAGTTCTGAATCTTCTACTACAAAAATTGAATCACATATAAAAAATAAACGGGGAGAAGGAATATCTTTGGATCCAAATATATTTTTAGCTAGAATATTACAATATTTAGAAACACCTCAGTAAGTAATGTATGAATTTTTATTTTTTTTTGTAAATTGATTTTGATTTTTTATATTTTCTAGATACCTACGCAAGGAACTTTTCCCTGTACATCAAGATCTCACATATGCGGGTGTGTGATAGTGATATTTCTCGCAAAGATATTACATACTAACTTTACTAACTTTTTTTCTTTCATAGGGTTATTAAATCCATTAGATTGTCCTCATCATGTTCGTAAAGAAGAAAAAAGTCCATTTAGAGAAGGGGTTATAATTGATAAGAAACCAAGAAATGGGAAAGGATCTTTAGTGAATGCTGGACTCTCCAAGGTATTCCTTTTTTATTCTAATTAATTCATGGCGTACGTATTAATAGAATTACTGACGTTTACTTTAAATTAGTATGTGATAATTGATAAATCAATTAAAACAGGTATACGCGTAACTTTAGATATGGGAAATTATGAGGTATCAAAGAAAGGTAATTATCATCATGTGGCTATTATATTTTATCTATATTTTAATTATTTTTTTTTTTATAAGACCATCAATATATTGAAGCTAAAGTTGTATCACCAAAATTGCCAAAACAACATGGATTGTATTGGGGTTATCACATTAGAATAGCCGATTCCATATCAAAAGTGTTTACTGAATGTTCATTTCCTGTAAGAATTCAAAAGCACTAATATTTAATAAAGCTAATTTAACCTTTTCTAATTCATCATTGTATTTTTCTCAAAAAGGGTGGTTACGATATAACTATAGGAACATCTGAACGTGGTAAAGCCGTTGATGATGTGATAGACGAATTGCCAGAATTCAGGTATATGTTTTAAAGAAACGAGAACCTGATTATATATTTTTTTAAGGAAATTCAATGTTAAAAAATGATTTTATTTTTCTAGTCATTTGCTGGTTGTCTTTGGTGGATTAACAGGTATAGAGGCCGCTATTGATGTTGATGAAGATTTAAAATGTAATGGTGAAGAAGCAGATGAGTTATTTGATTTATGGGTAAACACGTGTCCTGATCAAGGAAGTAGAACCATTAGGACAGAGGTAATACTAATTATTTACATGAAATTTATTAAGGAATTTTGATTAAATCAATACCTTTTGTAGGAAGCTGTGTTAATCACAATGTCATCTTTAAGAGCTGCCATTAATAAGAAAGGACGAAAGGAAAATTAATTGCTTATATTAATAATATAAATATTTTATTATGATATTTATGATTTTGTTTTTTTTTTTTTAATATTTTTTTTTTATTTCTATTAAGATGTAAATTAATCTTAACAAGTTCTATTTGAGTTAAATAAATAATCAAAAAAAAAAATAAAATAAAATAAACTAATACTAAAATCAAATATCAAATATAAAAAAAAAAAAAATAAAATAAAATTATAATTATAATTATATATTAAATACTATTTTAATACAGATAAAAATATTAGTAAAAAATATTAAAAATAACTTATAACTATTATATATTAGTTCAAAATTTTAAAGAAAACTTCAATTTAAATAATAAATGATTAATTAATTAATATGTAATAATATATAAACTTGTATTATTTTCACATTTATATATTTATAACTTTTTTTATTATTTTTATAATGCATATTTCTATATAACAGATTTTAATAACTTATAATTTTCTAACAAATACAGTGCAAAACCTCTATAATAAAAACTTAAATTTAATTCACTGATTGGATTTTAATCAAATAAAAAAAATTGATTTATGAATCAATTTATATAAAAAAAGTTTTTTTTTAATTTTGTAAATTATGTAAGCAGTGTATAACATATATATGAGCTAATCATAAACTAGAATTAAAAATCATATAAAATAATTTATTTTAATTTATTTTATTATTTCATTATAAATTGCATTAATATATAATAATAAAACTTATATTTTTTAGTTGCAATCTCTGCCATTTTTTAGTAATACTTTTTCTATAAATATTCATATATTGCTATAATTTTTTGCATTTTTTTGAATTGTAATTAGAGAAACTAAATCTAATGCTTTAAGAATAATTTATTATAATCTAACCTATGTGTAATTATAATATTCTGTGTATTTCTTTTGCTATATACTATATATTTTTATATAATTCAATTTATAATAATATTTAAGTTAAAATATATGAATAATAAAAGAATTTTTTTTATAAATTCTTCATTATAAATTTCAGTTTTATAATTAATTTTAAATAAATTTAATCTGGTATAACTTTATCAATATTAAAGATATTAAAATTTTAATCTAAGATTCTTAAAATACAGGTTATGGTTTATTTATCTTATGGATAAATTTTCATTTTTATATATAATATAATTTTTTTTGCATTTTAAATTTGTTCCATTTTTACTATAGCAAAGTTTCTATTATAGAGGTTCTACACTATATAAATATTTTACAAAATTACTTTATTTTATAAAAAAAATTTTATATATATGAATGTTTAGTAAAGTAAAAAATGATTTTTGAAATAGAAATATTTTTTTATGTTAATATCTAACTATCAATTATGCAGACAAAACACTTATCTGATTAAATAATAGCCAAATTTAGCTCAAAACTCATATTTATTTAGAAAAGTCTTTATTTAAATTCTTTCTAAAATAAAGAAAAATATCATATGCTTTCTTTAGTCATTTCATTATAGTATTTATTCATAATCTAAGTTTTTAAATCAGAAATTATAAAGATTTCACTGATTTAAATCTTAAAATAATCAAAGATATATCTTTATTTATATAATAATTATATAATTATGACTATTTATAAAATTTCTATACTATTTTCTTATTTTATTATAGAATAAATATGTAATAATGTTTTTATTTATAATTAAAAATAATATTATATTAAAATAATTATTATCTAATTATTTTGTAATAATTCTATAATTAATAATTAAATTATTTCATCAAAATATTCTAATTATTACTTAATTATTGCTATATTTCTCTCTTTAATTCCTTTTTTTTAAATCTTTCTTTAATATATTTAATATAAACTTATATCATATATTTTCATAACTAATGATTCTACTTTTCTTTATTAATTAATTTGTTTAAAATCTAGATAATATTAAGATCAATCATTTACTAACTAATCTCTTATATTATATTAATATTCAGCAGATTATTTATTGTATTATATTTCTTTATAAATCATTTCTGTTATACTATATAGAAGCTAAGCTATTAAAATCACCTTACAGCAGTGATGTACATTTTTGATGTTCCAAAGATTTGTTGTCCTAGCTATATATTCTAGCTATATGTCCTAATCTATCTCACACTATGTTTCAAATAAAGCTCCGCATAAGCTGAGCCGCTTGCAAGCCAAATGAGCCAGCTAGTTTAGGCTCAGCTCAAGCCACCATAAAACGAGCCGCAAGCCAGACAAGCCAGCTCGTGCCACAGCTCGGCTCGTTGGATTGTATTTTCTTCTTTGAAGAAAATAAATCCAAAGGCAGTTTTTCTTCGAAGAAAGCTACTCCAATAGCGTTTACTTAAAGAAAAACGGCCCTGATGACATTTTTTTTGAAAAAAAATGGCACTAGTGACATTTTCTTTGAAGAAAAACGGCCCTAGTGACGTTTTCTTTGAAGAAAAACAGCACAGTAATGTTTTCTTTGAAGAAAATGAACCCAGTGCCATTTCCTTTGAAGAAAAACGAACCTGGTGACGTTTTTCTTTGAAGAAAAATGCATCTGAAGCGTTTTCTTTAAAAGAATTCACTTTCGAAGCGTTTTCTTTAGAAGAATTCGCTTCTGGAGCGTTTTTCTTGAAGAATTTCGCTTCCAGAGCGTTTTCTTTAAAAAAATTCGCTTGCAGAGCGATTTCCTTGAAGGATTTTGCTTCTGGAGCGTTTCTTTAAAAGAATTCACTTTCAGAGTGATTTCCTTGAAGGAAAATATTTCAGAAGCGAAATCCTTCAAGAAAATCGCTCTGGAAGCAAAATCCTTCAAGAAAATCACTCCGGAAGCGAAATTCTTCAAGAAAATCGCTCCAGAAGTGAAATCCTTCAAGGAAATCGCTCCAGAAGCGAAATCCTTCAAGAAAATCGCTCCAGAAGCGAATTCCTTAATGGAAAACGCTCTGGAAGCGAAATCCTTTATGGAAAATGCTCCAGAAGTGAAATTCTTTATGGAAAACACTCCGGAAGTGAATCCTTCAAGAAAATCGCTCCAGAAATGAAATCCTTCAAGAAAATCACTCCAGAAGTGAATCCTTTTAAAGAAAATACTCTGGAAGTAAATTGCTTAATGAAAAACGCTCCGGAAACGTTCCTCTCAAAGGAAATCATTCCAGAAACGCATCTCTTGATGAGAAACATTTCTTTCGACAGTTTTTCATTTCTAAATATAAATGCAAGCCGAACGAGCTGGCTTGCAAGCCGGCTTAGCTTGGCTTAGCTTGTCAATTGATCTCTACGATCTGAACCAAGCTAAGCCAAAAAAAAGTGGCTCAGCTTAAGCCAGTGGCAATCCAAGCCAAGCCGGCTTATGCAGAGCTTTAGTTTCAAATGTCCTATCTGTCCTATCTATGTCCCATCAGCGTCCCATCAGTGTCCCACCAATATTTCATAATAATACTGCCTTATAGAATATTGTTATACTAATTTTGTAACACTTGAGTTTTTATTATTAAAATCATTCTACAGGACATCATTATACTAATTTATTAGAAAATTCAATTTTTAAAAAAAATTAAAAAAATTATTTTTTATATTATTATTTATTTTTAAAAAAAAAAAAATTTACTAAAGTATTAAATGCCTTCAAACTCCTTATAAAGTTAAAAATTTTTGAATTTTATAAGAATTCAAAACTTTTTTAATGTTGATCATTTCTTAATTCTAATTTTAGATTTTTGACTGATATTATACAAATAAATAAGATTTTGATGACCTAATTATTTGCTTTGTTAATAAGATAATCAACTATAAAAATTTAACTAAATAAAATTCATATATCATATAATAATATGAATTAAAAATCTTAATTTTGGTTGATAAGATCCTATAAGGTATTTTAATAGCTTAACCCCTATATAACCTTTATAATATAAATTATCTAAATTATAATATATAAGAAGTAATCTATTATAACTTTAAGTAAATTTCTATCATATATCATCAGTATTAATTTTAGATTCTAAAATGATTTAGATTTAATTTTAACCATCAAAATCTTGATATGCTACTTACTATCTTTTATAATTTTTAGTTATCAAAAAATATACTAATCATATAATCTTTAAACTTTTATGATATGAAAAATTTATATTATATTAATTATTATTATAAAGTATTAGAAATATAAAAAATATAAAAAATCTATAATATTTAAGATAAGACTCTATAATTTTATATTATATATTATTATTCTGTAATATCTTAAAATTAATTTTAAAGGTGATTTTTCATAAATATTTAGATCAAAAAATTTAATTAAAAAATTTGATATAAAAAAGTCTAATTAAAAATTATATAACTAATTTGTATTATAATTATTATTTCATTTTATTTTTAGTATATGATATACAAAAAAAAATATTTTAAAACTATTTCTTCATGAAATAATAAAACATAAAAGTCTAACCAAAAAATTTAATATATCTAAAAGTTTAACTAAAATTGTTAACTAATTTAAGTTCTTTAAAATTATATTATATAATCTTTGATAATATTAAAATATACAGTCTCTAACAAAAAGAATAACAGTAAAAATACTGAATTTTTTTTATTATAATATTACCATTTTCTATTATTTATATTACTAAATTAAATAATAAATTTATTACATAGTTACTATTAATCTTTCAATAAGAATATAATCTAAACTGATTTAGAATAATTTACAGGATTTTAGAAGAAAAATAATTATATTTTTATTATTTATATAGATTTTCTGTTTTTACTTATATTTTTAAATAGGAAATTAATCAATAAGTTTTGGTAATATTTATGTTATGTTTTTGCAATTTATATTAGATTTTTATTATTAATAAAATTTTAATATTTAATAAATTTAATAAATAAAATGTATCAATTTATATGCTTATTTGACTAAATTGATGTCAAATTAAAGCCTATTTTAAACTAATTTATAGTTATTTAAGTTCTGAATTAATGTCAAATGATGCTGAATTGAGATCAAATTTA